AACAGACAGAAGGATATCCATTACGTGTGAACCAAAACACTAGAATACCATAGCCTTGGAATATATAGATCATGGAGATTATATAGGGCACACTTCACAACAACTTCAACAGCACCAACCGATAATATTCAATAGACGAGATATACTCACAAGTGAGATTCTTATAGACAAAGTAAGGCCCATGTTCCACAAAAAGGCCGAACATGGACGTGCCTCCAGGGCCTCCCTGCAGCCACAGCAGCACAGGAGCACTCTCTGGTTTTATCTGCACATAGAAACTTACATCAGTGAAAGAAAAAAAAAAACTCACATACTGCATTATTTATAAAGTGTTAAATAAATAAATAAATACTTTGTACACATGTTGAGCTAGAACATTAGTTTTGTATTGATAAAGAACGAACATTAAAAGAAGCATTTAAAGGAGTGAGTCCATGACTGGGGTGCCATTTCTGCCTTTGCCTTAAAAGGGAAACTTTCAATATTGAAAAATGATCAAATAATCAAAGAGAACCTGCATTTAACCATGTAAACATTATTTTTGCCTGCATCTCAAGCAACAATATATCTTTTTTTTCCCCTTTTCTTTTTACAAAAGTTTTCTTTGCTGGCAATGGATGCATTTCACTCTGAAATGAGTAACAGGTTTGGGATTTCAAGCATAAAATTAGCAAACACACAAAATATGTTTAACTACCGTCCCTGCTGATGGCATGGGGATATTAATCATTTACTTCAATCTACAATTTGGGTAAAAGTTGTCAAAGTTACCTTGCCAATTAATACTACCATTTCAATATATAGGGTTATTAAATCTCAAGTGTTCCAATAATTTGAGAGGTAGTTGCTTGACCATATTTTAAAATTTATTTTGTGATTGATTATCTCCAAGTATTGGAGTTTTTTTTTTATTTTATTTTTTTATTTTATTTACTTGGTTTAAGTACGACAGCCATCTTTATGTCATGACACACAACTAATTTTGGTTATACAGCTGTTTACAGAAACATCTCGGCTCTAGATCTCTCTTGGCTCAGGATGATCTGTAGAGTACAATCCAAGGTAACAGTTTGCACATTCATGTTCCTTAGACTAAGAATTAAGTCCACCTCAAGATTGCTCACATTCAACTACTAGGGTCAAATTACAATGGGAAGTGTTTGAGTCTCAGTCTTCATTTTTCTAGGGGGTACCTTGACAAGTATAGTGTGCATGCAGAACATTTCAAGGTTGAGATTTCTCTTTTTTTTATTTTATTTTTTATGGGGGCGAGTGCAATTTTCTAAAAACTTCCCCCTCATGTTCAGGTTGAATATCTCTGGTGGGCGACCAGATATGAACCTGAACTAAGAAATAAGTCATCTATAGTAGCATTCAGCTGCAAAAATTGAGTTTGCCATTCCACTGGTTACAGAGCTAGGGCTTTACTTACTACTTTATTCATGCATTTTGAGAAATGAACAGGAGTAATATAAGCATAACAAATAAAATTAACGAATACAAAAATAGTCACTCAAAACAAAATGAAGAAAATTGCAAACGGTCGAGCAACCTGCTTTGGACCACTTGAGATTGAGTGGGTGGATAGGTAGAGCATGGTACATACATCCTGCTTAAAATTCCAGCAACCCCAATGAAAAAGAAAAAAACCTTCCTGTGTCCCAGTTCCCAGAATATTCCAGAAATGCAGATGATGCAACTTTTTGTTGAACATGTTCCTTTTGTTAAATATACAAAATATTTCAGAGGTGAGGGACAAGGTTAAGTGGATGCTATGGGACACTAAAAGGTAGTGTCCCAAAGCAGGAGAGATTAAATGGATTAATATAATACATTTTTTTAAATTAATAGCATTTTAATGATTATATACTAGGACAGGCAAAATGCTGATTAAGTGCTGTACATAGGTTTTATTAATGTATGCATGTATGCATGTGATAGATGTGATATATAGACATGTACAGGGGTTGTTGTGTAAAACACTCTTCGAAAAGGTCTCTTATCTTTACTTTACGTACTGTACATATTTGTAATTGTAATGTCAGTAGGAAACAAATTGCACCTTAAAAACTCTAAAATCAGAAAGGTAGGGCAGCTAAATGCCACAGTTCTGATCATTCAAGCTGTTATGAAGTTGTAAATGTAATTCCATGAATCTAAAGTTACAAGCAAAACATATCTTAATGCTGGGATGTGTATTGAATTTACAGTCTTACCTGTGCAGGAAAGAACCAGAAGAAGAGGTTACTGTTGTAGCTTTTGTTAACTGTGAGATAGCCAGAGTAACTCTTTACATTAGCACCAGGTAGAGGGCCCACCAAGCTCAGCTCTCTAGCTGGAAGACAAGATGATAAAATGTGCTTATTTTTCAGTGGAAGACAAACCACCCGTCCATCTTAGCCAAGGAGGCTTTCCATATCCACAAAAAGTTCAAATAAAAAGCACGGAGAACAAGTTTTTAAATTACAAATGTTATTGCACTTCATGAACAATACGTACTTTCATAATATTCTGGTGGGTTCAGTGAGAGTCCTTTGTATGAGAAATGTTTCCAGCTTTCTAAAAAAGTATTTTACTTGGAACCTCTTCAGAAGTGAAAACATTTTGTGAAAAAAGACTTAAAAATATTTTTTAAATAATATTTTTTAAATAATATTTTATTTATATATATATATATATATATATATATATATATATATATATATATATATATATATATATATATATATATATATAGTTTGGGTATTTTGCACAGGCAAAACATTCGTATCACTTCATAAAATTGGGATTAAATCACTGGAGTCATATGGATTACTTTTACCATGCCGTTATGAACTTTTTGCTACTTGAAAGTTTTGGTTACATGGACTGTAAATGGAGGGACAGAAATGTCCCATGTTTCATTTAAAAATGTCTTCATTTATGTTTTGAAGATGAACGAAAGACTTATGGGTTTGGAACAACATGAGGTTGATTAACTGATGACAGAATTTTCCTTGCTTGGGTGAACTATCCAATTTAACCTCTAATTATTCCACTTTTCCTGTAAAAAACAACAAAAAACAAAAAAACCACAACTGACAAGTCTGATTGGCAAAGAGAGAAAAGAAAAAGATACAGAAGCTTGTGGGTCGTTAAACAGTCTGCCCTAAACCATGTTAGTATGTCATAATGACTGGACTTTCTTCTTCAGGTTTATAGAACATGTCCAATCATCATCATCATCATCATTATCATTATTATTATTATTATTATTCACTCATTAAAGAACACAACAGGCCAACAGGCTTGTTAACTTTCAGTATGGATTAAGTTAGCAGAACTGGCTTTGAGCAACACAGACAACGGGATTAAAAATGCTTCTCCTTGTGTTTCACTTCTCTTTATCCAGTACACGTCACCTCACAAGGTCTGTGCCTATAAACAGCAGAGCAAACCGAGCACTGACTTGACCCTTTAACCTTGACTTTCACATTCGTCCGACATCTTTTAAGCCATCAGCTGCAGTAGGGAAAGACCTACAATCTTGGATCTCGAATAAAATGCATACACACAGCTGTGTTCGGTCAAAATTCATCGTGTCAACCACGTACCTTTGTCTATCTCGCCTCGTTCCAGATATGGACTGAGGAAGAGAGGGTCTCCAGGGTCTTGTCCATCAGATCCTCCACTCACACGCAGAGATTTTCTGCAGAAGAATGAAGAGCAGCCCCTGGACCTCACCGCCTCCAAACACACAGCAAGGAGCACAGCAAGGAGCAATCCCTTCGCCATTCGGAAGCTTTAAGCATGAAATTCGACACACTATTATTGAACACGTTACCAAAGGTGTTGTGTTTCCTATTGTCATCACCCATCAGTCTGGATCCCTGAACATGACCGAGCCTGTGACAGCTGGCCACAGGATTTCAGGACAACACATTAGAGGAGCTGGATCTCAAATACTTTGAACCAAATACTCAGCTATATAACCTGCGTAGAATTTAAATGAAATGGCAGAGATGAAAACATGCACATGAAACATTTCAGAAGCTGAAACTTCGTTTAGTTTTAGTATAAAATGATTTCGCGAAGTGGATTCTTCCACTAGCCTGATTAAGACATCAAAATGACTCTCACCCCAGAGAAACCAGGCCATTACATCTCAACTAATTCAGAATTAAATCGTTTACGAAAGCACTTTAATTACAAAACAAGTAAAAGCACCTACCTTAAGAGCGGATGGTCGCTGCTCGGTCGCTACTAGCGTTAAAACAAGAGAGTCACGTTGTTTGTCACGTTGTTTGTCACGTGATACAGTAGCGACTCGTATCACGTGATCGCTGTTTACTGTTTAACGTCATGGCTGAATGTCCCTTCATCACTCCCTTTTCTAATTATGCTCACGATAATAAACACACTTATTTATTTAGAAGTACGTGTTGTGACAAATGAAGCCTTTATATATACTTAAGTAATATAGTATAGATAATCTGTCAAAATCTTATTGGAAGTATCCAGCAACTAAATGTAGTCACGTGGAAGCAAAAAAAAAAAAAAAGTTGTACTCAAGTATAAAAAAAAAAAGTTTTTAACTGATGAAATTAAGTTAATGTTCATGTTGTATGTGAAATATAACTTTTATTACTTATCTGAAAGATTTTTGTTTTTGTTGTATAGCATGTCATTCAATGTAAGTTGGCAATATTTACCATTAACTAAAATTTCACATACTAAATATATGCATTAGAAAACTTCGTTAAAATTAAACATTAAAACCACTGACAGGTGAAGCGAATAACATTGATTATCTCATTACACTGGCACTTGTCAAGGAGTGAGATATATTAGACAGCAAGTCAGTTCTAGAAGTAAATAATGAGTCTTTATTGGTCACATATACAGTAGAGCACAGTGAAATTGTTTTCTTCACAGGAAGCTGGGGTCAGGTCAGAGCACAGGGTCAGCTTGATACAGCAAACCTGGAGCAGAGAGGGTTAAGGGCCTTGCTCAAGGCAGCTTGGCAGTGCTGGGGCTTGAACCACCAACCTTCCGATCACTAACCCAGCGCCTTAACCAATAAGCCACCACTGCCCGCTGTTGATGTGTTGGAAGCAGGAAAAATGTGTAAGTGTAAGGATGAGTGCAAGTACTAAGTCATGTTTTCATGTTTTCAGGAGTCAAATACTTAATTCCCTCATTAAAATGCAAATCAATTTATAACATTTTTGACATGCGCTTTTCTGGATTTTTTTGTTGTTATTTTGCCTCTCACTGTTCAAATAAACCTACCATTAAAATTATAGACTGATCATTTCTTTGTTAGTGGGCAAACGTACAAAATCAGCAGGGGATCAAATACTTTTTTCCCCCATTGTACGAAAGTACCTACAATGGACACATGAGCTACAGAAAAGGACCATGGAGCAATGGAAGAAGGTGGTCTGGTCTGATGAATCATGTTGCCTTTTACATCATGTGGACGGACGGGTGCGTCTTTGTCATTTATCTGGGTAAGAAATGGCACCAGGATGTACTACAGCAAGAACGCAACCTGGTGGAAGTAATGTGATGCTCTGGCCAATGTTCTGTTGGGAAACCTTGGGTCCTGGTATTCATGTGGATGTTACTTTATCACATACCACCTACTTAACCCTTTTACCCCGTATGGCCGGAAAACCGGCTTGCCCGTCTATTCCCGTAACGACGATATACTGGCTTGGTCGTCTATGCCAAATCCCCGTACGGCCGATATAGCGATATTACGGCTTTACAGTGTAAACGAAATCCCCGTAAGGCTGGTATACCGGCATTACTCTGCTATGATTCCTTACTTATTTAATTATTATATTTGACCCGGAAGGTTGATGACGTCACAAACGTGATTACGTTATTACGCCAGCATTACGATGAAGCTGATCCAAGCGTGAATATTGGTGTAATAGTCGAAGTGAACTAAAAATGCCAGAGTGAAAAGTTAATCGTGTTCACCTACAGTGAACACAGGTACATCTAAAACAGTGAAAAAAAAGAAAACATACACGGTTACACAGGCGAGATCGAGGATTCTAGATAGTGACAGCAGTGAAAGTTCAGGCGATGTTGAAACCGAAACTGATAGTGACCCAAACTCTCCTGATTCAGACCCTGATCCGTCTTCATCTTCAGCATCAACCAGTGCGACTGACACTGCAGGGGTTTGGAGTCATAACGTGACAGTTTCTGTGCACTAAATAAAATGCATTTATTTATTATTTACTTGAATTTATTCAAAGGCATTGACCATGCTGATGCTCATATGGTACTTCTAAATGAGTAGAAGGATTTTAGTGAGCATTTTTCGTCATTTCTATAGTCAAAAATTGTGCTCTACGTTTAGTAAAAAACACTTAACTGCTTCATTTTCAAAGTAATGTCACACAAATACGTTATTATACGTTGTTTCAAGGCCTAAAAGTGTTAAAATTAATATGTTGACTTTGGGGCCAATTTTGGCACAGGAACTCAGGGTTGGCGTGCTGTTTCTCTGGGGAATATAGGGTTGTGGGACATAATACTGTGGGAACTTAGGGCTAAGAGGGTTAAACCTTATTGCAGACCAAGTACACACCACCATGGCAACGGTATTCCATAATGTCCGTGGCCTAGCTCTTTCACCAGGATAACACGCCCTGCCACTCTGCAAAGAAAAAAAAAAAAATTAAAAATAAACAAATAAATAAATAAAGGTCGGATTATCCTGGCTAGTATTTCTCAGTTGCCAATGTAACAATGTAACCTGTCGGCTATGGTGCTGTCACGCGCCACTTCCAGCGCATGCGCGGAGCCGCGCGCGTTCCCGAGACGCACAGCGCTCGCACTTTAAGAAGGCGGATACCACGGAAGAGCGTGTTGACTGCGAGCTCAGAAGAGCCACATGGAGCCTGTACAGTAATAAATGCTCTTTTACAGCGTGGCGAAAACATGACATGACTCGGAACGTTTTAACTTTTAGCTCTTTTTCCAGCCCTTTTTCTTTCCCCCACTGAGGAGCTCGCAGCTACATTTTCATATATATGTATATATATGTATACATTTGATTCAATCTTTGACACTCGCGCGCACTGACTATTTTTACTCCACGGTAGGAGCCACTCAGTAAATGCGGCAGCGCCTGGCAGCTCCCAGCTGATCCGCGAGACTTGTGACAGTCGTCTGGAGCTGCGTCTGGGTGTGTGTGTGTGTGTGTGTGTGTGTGTGTGTGTGAGAGAGAGAGAGAGAGAGAGAGAGGACAGATTGAAATAAGGTGACAGGCTGAGATGGACGACCTGATCAGATGTTGTGAGCGCATCTTAATCGAAGGCGAGAGTGAGTAAGTGAGATGGCAGCCTCGAGTAACTCCAGCCTGTCAGGTTCCTCCGTGTCCTCCGGTGAGTACTGTTACTGCTCATTCTGTTGGCTAGAAACATCTCGGTTATATTTCATTCCCCCATCATTTATTCAATGCTAAATACGCGTCCGTTTAGTATTTGTTTGGTGGCTGTTAGTATAAGCTAATGTGGGTTTGGCTTCTTCTTCTTCTTCTTCTTCTTCTTCTCTAAAATGTTATTAGTCACTCATTAAAGCAGGACTGAGCACGCTGAGGTGTGTCATTCACCAGATTTCCACGTTTCATGCCTTCACTTTGATCCAGGCTTTGGAAGAAAAATCAAGACTGTATAGGGTTTAAACCTGAAGTTGCGCATACAAAGTCAGTGCTGTCAGATTCACATTCATAACTAAACCATAGGCTACGACGCAAAAAGCGCATACTGCTACACTACACTAGTTGTTTTTGGACTGTTTTTTTTGTTTTTGTTTTTTGGAAATACTATTGAGTAGAATAGAACTGTGCGGTTTGGAGCTATTCTGACACACTGGTTCTGAAGGTAGTTTGGGCTCGAGCGGTACAGTAATGAGCTCGTGCTGGACTGACATGCGTGACTGAGAGGTGCACGCCTTGCTGTTAGAGCAGCCACAGATTGCTGCTTGTAAAGATTGTACCCGGAACATCCTGATTTAGGTTTTCAAAGAGAACTCTTTTTTTAGACCAAAAAAAAAAAAAAAATGGTATGCTCACTCCCCGCAGCTTGATTTGGTATGAAGCCAAACGGCAGGTGCTGAAATCATGCCATTTTGACAGCTGTCACTGATAGTTCACTTTGTTTACAGTATCAGTATTACTAAACCGAGTAATAATCATAGACTGATGTAAAAAAAAATGCATGCTGGATCATGACGGTGTAATAAAATGTCATTGGGTCCTGGAGATCCTATTCATTTATTTCTTTCGTTTTCATGTTTTTTGTTATTTTTTTGTATGATTGAGCTTTGAGCATTGTGTGACACCTTATACTGATGACATCGTATCAGTTTTGTGCACGCCCATTTATGTGGAACAGCAGAGGTGGGATCGTGATATAAGTAACTGACAAGTTGTGTCATATTCTCCCAAGCATGATGTCTGGTGTGAGCTAACATCGCAGGTGTTCACAGTATAAAATTCCTCTGTGGCTCAAATGACAAAATTTGTCAAATTGTTTCAGGCCAGCATCAGTCCTTAGTATTGTTCAGTCCATACAGGATTTTGTGGCATTTTATTTATTTGTTTATTTATTTATTTATTTATTTATTTATTTATTGTGATTGTTGAGGCCAAAAAAGATTGGCACCCTGTCCAGGTTGTACCCTGCCTTGTGCCCGATGCTCCTTGGGATTGGCTCCAGGTTCCCCGCGACCCTGAAGAAGAAGTAAGCGGTAGAAAATGGATGGATGGAGGAAAAAAAAAGCTTGATTTTGCTGTGGCTTTTTTTCAAAATCCGTGCTGCAACTTACGGAGATGTTCGTGCATTTTTTTTTTTTTTGTGGAAATTTTGAATTGACTCGAAATTGGCAAAATCACAATTGCACAAAATCTGTCTTCCGCGGTGGTGTTTGTTGGTAAATGAGACCTTTTTAGCGGTACTCATGTTCGACGCACATAAATCGAAGAGGGCTTTGGCTGAATGCACGTTATGATGATGTCACATGACGTGTCTTGGCCAAAATATTCTGAAAGTCTGCTGTAATTTGAAAGAAATTGCAAGCGCCTTTGAATATTGCTGAGTTTGCTTGATTTTGCATTCATTTCGGCGATCGCAGAATCCTGGAGGGACTGATTATCTCTGAGAGGACAACAGAAGAACAAGAGGAAAAACAGCTCTTCAAAAATGTTTGATTTACATTGTGGTATTGTGTTCGTAGAGAGATGCACTGTAATCCTCTCTTTTTAGAGCTCTGAGAAGATGTATACATAAGAGTTTATAAAAGTTTAACAGCATGTAATTACCTTGCAGATTTTTACCGGTCTGCCATCAGCGTCAAATCTTCGGAGTGCTAACCGCTTTCATTGGTTCACCTGAGGCGTTAGTGCTGGTGCTAATTTCTAAGGCCAGAGCAGAGCTATGCATTTATTAGATCTGTCAGAGTAGAGCTGATGTGCTTTGTTCACAGTCTATTAAACATGAAAGCAGATCGGTGCAAATGTTTCAGGTAATAACTGCAATGAAGGTCCGTGTTTTTCCCGCTATGAGTGAGTCAGTAAAGCTTGTGCTGTGAACCTCACAATAGCCAATTATCTGAAGAGCTGTACCCGCTTTTTTTTTTATTCGCTTAAGCGACATTTCCCATTATCCCTTTTATATTAGTGAGAAAATTCAACGTTGCTGCAAATTAACTTTTTCTATTCTGTTTCTTCTTTTCTGTTCTATATAAATGGTGAGAGTTTTGCGTACCCGAGAACATAACCAGACGGCTTTCAATTTTCTGCCTCATGTGCTTTATGTCTCTGCTTCGAACCCTAATTAAGTACCTTGCTGCATACTTGTACAATACAATGGGTGCATTGTAAATGATTATTATTAACATTGAACATGGCATAGGAATTAGATACAAAAACCTTGTTTTGACTAGCACTGGATGTAATGTAACTTGGGAGAGATAAAGTTTAGCCCACTGCATGTTGCTTAATGATGTAACGTTGCCGAAAGACTTACTAAAGATGTTGTATACATATAGTTTCACAATGTTGTATAGTGT